TACAATGATAATAAATAATAATAAAAAAATAAATGTAATACAGCGAGGTGGGCTGACAATGCGAGGTGTGAGGTGATGAGGCAGGAATGATGCGACATGACAAGGCACATACACAACAAACACATTTACAGCACTACAAACCTATTTTTTTTTATAACATTTCAATTTCTAATTTCTATTTTAAAATTAATTGATACATGATGGCTCGATTTGGCTACTTTTGCACTTAGACAAAAGATCAGTGAATAAACCAGGCATATGGAGATGCATTATACACTACAGTAATATTTATAAGTTCTGATAAATATGCTACAATATTACTTCTAAGTGCTCAAGACAGATCCTGTGGTAAGCACCAACCCTCTTGAGCAGTGACAACAACGGTGATTGCTGGCAACATTGTCAGGGATATCATAAACTATCAGCTGTTACCACTCTGTAAACAAGAGACGGACAATACAGTTGAAAACAGTTGAGTCTGGATTTACACGGTTTTTGTTTACGCGTTTGGTCATTTACGTGGCACCTTGCAGAATGAAATGTTTTAATTAAGCGATAAATTTCATCATTTACGTGGGTGAGGTATATTTTGTTTATTTACTGAAGATATATATGTTTTTAGCTCATAAAATATATAATTTACATTGCTGGAATCCTTACAAGATGGTGATCATTTTGAATATAAACATCTTAACATTTGCAATAGACATACAAATTTTAGATGTAATGTAAGGAGATGATGAAAATTAGCAAACATTTTATCTTTTGTGGATGTTAAAAATCCGCGTATATGTGCTGGGCCCCCCCCCCCCAAAAAAAAACTCTGGCCCCCCATGTCCTTATTTACCGTATATACCTGTGTGTAGTTCGAGCTTTTAAGACCAAATTATTTGGCAAAAAATTGGGGGTCGACCTCTAAAAGGGTAATAGTTTCGTTAGGTTGAAAAATATTTACCAGTAACTACCAGTAAACAATGGAAACGATGCACCAACGCACCACCAGCTGTGAGTGTCGGTACAGTTGCCAGGGCAGATCTCTTGCGTCATCATAGCAAGCCCAAAGTAGCCAAATCCATGGTATGGTAGCACAGGACGATGTAAAACATAAAGTATTCATTTATTAAAGTGTATTTATAGATACTGTACATAAATTTTTTTTCATTACATTTGAAACATCAATCTTTGTTAATTAAATTTGAAACAAAAGAAAACAACGATACCGTATTTTCATTAAAATATTACATCACAAGTATATTTTACCTTAACTGTGACTGAGTGAATATATGTATTCTCAGAAATAAATATGGAAATATAACATTTTTGCTGGAATGACGTACATATTACAGTGGAAAGAGGGATAAAATCATGATGAAAACAATGACTTTCGCTTTCTTTCGTTGTTCAAAAGATTTTACTGTAATCGCTTTTCGAATGGTTTTCAGTTAAAAAACTATTTTACTCGTACTATATTACAATAATATTCTATTCTATCATTAGCCTTATAATCCCACAACTGAAAACCATTCAAAAAGCGATTACGGCAACATCTTTTGAACGAAAGAGAGTCATTGCTTTTGTCACAATTTTATCCCACTTTCCACTGTAATACGTACATCATTTCAGCAAAAATATTACATTTCCATGTTCTCAGAAATAAATGGTAGTTTTGTTGAAATGTACTGTACAGTATTTAATATTAAAATGCAAAAATAGCTATATAAACAATTAATACACCCGAAATGTACTGGCTGGCATCTCCACTCGTCCCTGCTCCCGCGTCCAAGGTCACCACTCCTCCCAACTCGCTCCCTCCTCCGCCTCCTCCACCTCCTCACCGTCACTACTGCCGACAACAAACACAAATGTTTTGTGAATAACTGCACCTCCACTTCCTATGTACAGTACTTGTACTGAACTGTACTGTGCTGTGCATTTTTACAAACAATAAACATGGCAAGGAAAGCTATTAAAAAAAAAGAGATAAAATTTTCACTTTACTGTACAGTACCTATCCTCGGCGAAATGACGGGGGTCATCGGGCTCATCGTCACTGAATTCCATAACGGGTGGTGAAGTGGGGGCGACGGTGGATTCAGCTGCTTCCTCACTGTCGCCAGTGATTGATGGTGTTAAATCTCTCCTTCGGTGATCAAAGAACATGGTGATGGGGAGTTGTCGTCTCTTTCTTTCATTTCTTCCATGATGTTTTTGTATGGAGCAAAAACGTCATCCATCCCTCGCATGAATTTCAGGGCACGCACCATGGAGGGGTCCATACTATAGGCCAGGTTTTTCAGTGCCTCAATATTCCAGGTCATCTCCCCCAACTTCTCCAACGTTATTTCTTGGTGCTCTTCCTCTTCCTCATCCTATTTACCTTTCGCTTCCTCTTCCTTGCCTGAGTCTACTAACTCCTGTAGATCCTCCTCGGTCAGCTCAGTCTCGTGCTCTTCAATTAGCTCCCTAATCTCGTCCTCTGCCATGTCCTGGGAGCCTTCAGCAGCCACTTTCCTTGACAGTGCCAGGGTCTTTCTGAATATTTTCATTAAAATCCATCAAAATCATTTTCCTTGTCATCGTCTTAAGCACCAAACAGCTCCTCCCAGTCTTCTCCTTGAACAGGGCTAGAGGGTACGTGTTTTTCGAATCGTTTTCAATTAAAAAAATTTTACAGCACATGTATATTTTATCTAAACTGTGCCTGAATGAATATATTCTCAGAAATAAATAGTAGTTTTGCTGAAACGTGATGTATTTCAATGTAAAATAGGATAAAATACATGACGAAAAGAAAAGACTTTACCAAACCTTCGAATGTTCAAGAGATGTTACTCGTTTTTTTAATAGTTTTCGGTTAAAATACTGTTATATTATAATGATATTCTATTCATACTGTGCTTGATATACTACATTCAATGAAAATGTAATATTTTTGCTGAAATGACGTACGTATTACAGTGGAAAGTGGGATAAAATCGTGACGAAAACAATGACTTTCGCTTTCTTTCGTTCAAAAGATGTTACCGTAATCGCTGTTCGAATGGTTTTCAGTTAAAAAAAACTGTTGCATCACAAGTGAATTGGGATAGAATATTATTATAATACAACAGTTTTTTTTACTGAAAACCATTCGAAAAGCGATTACGGTAACATCTTTTGAACGAAAGAAAGCGAGTCATTGCTTTCGTCACTTTCCACTGTAATACGTACGTCATTTCAGCAAAATATTACATTTCCATATTCTCAGAAATAAATAGTAGTTTTGCTGAAACGTAATGCATTTCAATGTAAATTAGGATAAACTACATGAAAACAAAAGACTTTACCTAACCTTCCAATGTTCAAGATATGTTACTCATTTTTTTAGTAGTTTTCGGTTAAAATACTCTTATATTAGTGATATTCTATTCATACTGTGCTTGATATAATACATTAACGGAAATGTAATATTTTTGCAACTACAATGCTGATGTCAACACAAGCGTGGTTACAGCGAGACTGACTGAGTGAGGGAGAGCTATGCGTGTGTGTGTGTGAGGTTGCGGGAGCGGGCGGTGTCCCGTGTTCGGTGCCGCGCGCGATTTGAATGTACTTCAATTACTTCAATGTACAGAATATTCCTCCGGCGGGGCAATCCGCGTATTTGCAAATCCGTGTATTATAAACCCGCGTATGTTAAGGGCCGACTGTATGTCTATCTTAAATTTTTAGTTAAAAAATAACTATAACACACCTCAGCCCGGTGAGGTTACCTTACCACGAGTGTGTCCCAAGTAGCTATCGTTCACCATAAATGCGCGGTAAATTTGACATTCTACCGCCGTAAAACTGTCTGGACCATCAGGGGTCCCGGACCAGTGATTACTGGAAATTCGGTGATTAACCTGTACAGTCGACCCTCGTTAATTCGGACTAAAAGGGGGGGAAGGGTGTCCGTTTTAGCCGATTGTCCGAATTAACCGATTTAGGGGTTAATATTGCATTATATTTCAAAGTCATTGTTTTCGTCACGATTTTATCCCACTTTTCACTGTAATACGTACGTAATTTCAGCAAAAATATTACATTTCCGTGAATGTATTATATCAAGCACAGTATGAATAGAATATCATTGTAATATAATAGTATTTTAACCGAAAACTATTAAAAAAACGAATAACATCTCAAGAACATCGGAAGCTTAGGTAAAATCTTTTATTTTCGTCATGTATTTTATCCTATTTTACATTAAAATACATCACATTTCAGCAAAACTACTATTCATTTCCGAGAATATATTCATTTAGGCACAGTTAAGGTAAAATATACATATGATATAACAGTTTTTTAACTGAAAACGATTCGAAAAACACGTGTACCGTCTAGCTGATACTCAACAGCTGGTGGTGTGTCGTTGTAAACAATAGGAGGTTGAAGTAGATTACTGGGTATTATATTAAGTGTGAAATATCGAAAAGGTTTTTATTACCGGTATTTTTTGTAGATCAATGAGAACTGTGATACCGTATATGATATGATAAGTTAGCCTGTGCTAAGAACTTCAACATAGACTACTGAAAACACGTTGTAAGGTAATTTAGCCTATTGTGAGTTGGTGAGCTTCATTTGCTGAAGGAACTGCACAACTTTTCATTACTAATTGGTACATATTTTATGTTTCCATTGTTTACTGGCAGTAAATGGTAAATATTTTTCATGTCTGAAGCTAAAAGTTGCATCCCCCCCCACACTAGTGGTGGAGATGTTACATTTAACCAAAAAGACGCTGGTGTTTTATCCCAGCAGTGGGTGGACCAGCATTTTAGCTTAAGGTCCGCGTAGCTAATATTCCTAAAAAAAAAAAAAAATAAGTTCAGATTTTGTCCGAATTATCCGAAATCTGGATTAAAGGGGTCCGAATTAACGAGGGTCGACTGTAGTTATTTTTTTACTTTCTAGAGAGTTCAAGAAATAATGCCTTTAATAACTGGATATTAATGAAATAAATAATCATTTTATAGGCCACCGTCAGTGAAATTAAGCACAAAGTCTGAAGCAGATGAAAGGAGTGAAGAGAGTAGTGAAGAAGATGTTGATGAAACATGTGCTGCTGTCCCTCAGAATATTGACAAGGTTGTGCAGGATTTTGAAGGAGAACTTGTGAGTATTATTTACCTTGTTTTGATTTAAATCTGAAAAGAAGAATGAAAAGGCTGTTGGTAGTTCTGGAAAAGTGGCAGAAATTTATAAAGCATTAGACATTGCTGGCATGACATTAGTGACTGAATTGACCAATGTTTTTATAATGGAATTTATTGCTCCAGCTGACTTGTGAAGAATATGATTGTAAATAAATACAGATGTATAGATGAGGCACTTGACTGTGGACATACAAGGGGCTCAAGCTATTAGGCCAGGTTATGAAAGTTGAGGAATGAGTGATCGAGAAATTGACAAGGAAGAGGTGGATTTCTGTGAAATACAATTTGGGTTTATATTTGGTAGGGGGACTGTAGAGGCAATATTTATGAAAGACAACTAAAAGAAAAATATTTAAAGAAGGAGAGAAAGCTGTAATTTGAATTTGTAGACTTACAGAAAGGCATTTGATAGGCTTCCAACCACAACAGTAAGTACAGTAAACAGTGGGAAAGTTAAGGGTCAAGGAGTGTCTTGTTTTAGTGGTCATGGGCCCAAGAACCTCAAGAGTAAATGGTAAGAAAGTGAGGAATTTGAGGTGAAATAAAGGTCCATCGGGAGTCTGATTTATCATGATGCTAGAGGCACAATCATGATATGTTAGGAATTATATAGCTTGGAGATGTTGAATTCTGATGGTGAAAGATAGTTTTGAAGAGGTAGAGAAAATTTAAGAAATGGAAAGATGGAATGGAGTCAAATGGTATGAGGGTGAAAGTGGGTAAAACAAAAGTAACGATTAATGGCTTGGGTGAAGTACCTTTGGTGGAAAGTAGAAAATGACCATGTGCCATCTGTAAGAAGGATGTTGACAATAATTCCATAATGTGCAATGAGTCTGGAAGGTGGGAATATGACAGACTGCAGAAGGTTGCTGACTTTGAGTGTGCTGTTTTTGTAGGTTATCATGTGGTCTCAACAAGGCCGGAAAAGAACAGTTTTATTACTTGAGTGGCATGATTAATGCTGAAGCTAGCTCAGACACAAGTCAGAAGTACAGTAGTACCCCGATTTACGCGGTCAATTGAACCCACAGGGTACCGCATTAAGTGAATTCCGCGTAAATGGAACAACAGAACATATGGGATTAATTCCAATAGAGACTGGCCCGACCCCCAAACTCCACTTTTTCCGACACAATACCTATGTTGTAGTAAAAATAACATCTAAATTTTATGATGGTGTGCTCACACAATTAATATTTAAGAGAAATACAGTCGCCAGGTTAATGTCCATTCAAATAATAGACTCAAATCCCCCACCCCCCTCTTCCCAGCTCACTGGCCCCTACCTCTCTGAGAAATGATTGGGTGAAACACTAGATTTTAACGTTTAGTAATAAATAATACCTCAGACTAAAGTTAGGATAATATAATTGACATTTCTGGATTCCTTGCAGGTCAGGGAATATTTTGAATGTAAACTTCATATATTTTGCACAAAAGATAAAATACTTGCTTTGTGTAAACCAAATTATTACATTAGATCTAAAATTTGTATGTCTAATGCAAAATCCATGATGTTTATATTCAAAATGATCATCATATTGTAAGAATTCCAGCAATGTAAATTATATTCTGGTCCAGTAATTTGTATGAATTTTATGAGCTAAAACAAATATCTTCAGTTAATAAAAAAAAATATTCTTCACGACACTATCTGTCAATCAAAGTACCCCAACTTGCCTCCCCCCCTCTTCCAACCGCGCCAGATGGTCGGTCGGTCCCAACCCTCCCCCCCACCCCCCACCTTCCCTCCCTACCAGAGAAATGTTGGGTGAAAAAACTAATTTTAACTTTTAGTAACAAATAATACCTCAGACTAAAGTTAGGATAATATAATTGACATTGCTGGATTCCTTGTAAGACCAGGAACATTTTGAATATAAATGTCATATATTTTGCACAAAAGATAACATATTTACTCAGAGTAAACATTACATCTAAAATTTGTATGTCTAATGCAAAATCTATGATGTTTATATTCAAAATGATCATCAAATTGTAAGAATTCCAGCAATGTAAATTATATTCTGGCCGGGTAATTTTTATGAATTTTATGAGCTAAAACAAATATCTTCAGTTAATAAAAAAATATATATTTTTCACACCGTGCCAGATGGTCGGTCGGTCCCTCCCTACCAGATAAATGTGTGGGAAAACCAGAATATTTACCTTTTTAGTAATAAATAACACCTCAGACTAAAGTTAGGATAATATAATTGACATTGCTGGATTCCTTGTAAGACCAGGAATATTTTGAATATAAATGTCATATATTTTGCACAAAAGATAACATATTTACTCAGAGTAAACGTTACATCTAAAATTTGTATGTCGAATGCAAAATCTATGATGTTTATATTCAGAATGATCATCAAATTGTAAGAATTCCAGCAATGTAAATTATATTCTGGCCGGGTAATTTGTATGAATTTTATGAGCTAAATGAAAAAAAAAATTATACTTCACGCGTATATGGGTAGATGAACCGCGTAAAGTGAAAGTTGGTTCTGGCGGCGAGGCACCGCGTATATGAGAAATCGCGTAAAGTGAAACCACGTAAAGCGGGGTACAACTAACTGTAGGAAGTTTAGGGAGTTGATCCCTTTATTGATGGCAAAAGGGCCTTCTCTTCACTTGAAAGGAAAGATGTATGCAACTGAAGCTAGATGTGTGATGTATGGCAGTGAAACATGGTAACTATTGTTGGATGGACGCATAATGCAATATTGAGAGACAGGAAACCCTGTTGAGAGCTAAGAGGGTGGCTGGGTATTGAGAGTATTGGCGAGGTTTTGTTCAGAAGTAGACTGAGATGGTTCAGGTATGTGGAGAGAATGGAGGAGACCAATTGGGCTAAGAGATTCATGAGTTTGAGTATGGAGGGGAAGAGAGCTAGGGGAGGGGGGACCAAGAATGACATGGGGAGAGAGTGTGAGAAATTACCACAGAGATTAAAAACAGAAAAGAGAGGCTTGCAAGAGTCCATGCAACTTGGAGAGCTGCCATCAGGTAATCATAACTGACCCATGTAAGCATGGAAAATAGCCATAAAACAGTGATGATGATGATGGAACAGGGCTTACATACACAATATTATATGGGTTTAGAAAGAGTAAAAAGTGAGAGTATAGTTCTGGTTTGTAAAATGTATATTGACATCATAGACCCAGTAGATGAGGCAGAATTTATTATACATACCTTGTAACTAAAGTTTTGGCAGATATTTAGAGTACTATTAAAAAAATCTTATAGAATAAATGACCTTGTTATTTCAATATTTTCTTAAGAATTTGGCAGATGAAGACAAGAAGATTCTGGAACATTTTATGAACAAGGATGCAGCACCTCAAAGAAAACTAGCAGACTTATTCAAAGATAAGATCACAGAAAAACAGACAGAGATTCGTACACAAGTGGATGCCAGCAGTGAGTCACCGTTATCTGTTGGTCTGTCTCTCTGTCTCTCCAGCTTCCCTTCCATGCATGATACTTCCTCAATTATTTATATTCACTATATATTTTTCAAACCTTTTAGTTCCTTCTTGCTATGTCACAGAGTGGGCAGAACCAAAAGCAAACACACGTGTATCCTTTATTTCCTGTCATTCATTTGTTTTTATGCCAATCACAGTACAAAAATTTCAAGGTATTTTTGGTTTTGGCAGTAAGTTTGTGGAACTCTGATAACACCATTTTGAAGTAAGTTCCTTTGAGTATTTTTTGTGCTGTGCAAGCCATTTGTATGATCTTTAAGGCTTGCAATTCTTATTTTCGTCTTTTAGATATAGTTTTTTTCATGCTTTCAAACCTTCTTCTATGGTGCTAGGTATTTACTGATCTGATTTATACCATTCAGAACCTGTGGGTTATGCCACAACCTTAAAGGATGCTAATTAACTTAATGCTTGTTTCTCTGGTGGCAATGGTACCAGTTTGTGTCCTCATTTATTTTTGAGTGCACAATGGCTACTGTACTTGGAGAGAACCCAATCCTCCAGTCGATGCCCCTGCACTATTATACTCAAATGAAGGGGGACTTGGTGCAGTGATTGTTCCTGAAAAGCTGGAGGTTTCATTAGAGATGTGACTGCCCAGTCAGCACTCAAAACACTGAGGCTACTTCAGTTATCTTGATTTACTTACTCCTTCAGGCAAATGATTTCACAGTAACTCATCTCTCATATCCCACATGCAGTGTCATCCATAATATATTGGGACTGACTCCCATGTATTTGGTCATACAGTTCAACATTTCATCACTCTTCAGCACTGCCACACCTTTAACTCTTACCTTCTCAAACATTCCTAACATTATTTCCCTCACTTGTTCCCAGCAGATTTTCCCTTTGTTCTGTTTAGAGCCATGACTTTCAGGTTCCTTTCATTTAACATTACTTTATTTGCTCTTCTTATAACCATTACATCCTCTTGTTCTGTTTTGTAACAGGTACAGAGGGTGGCATTACCAACTACATGACTCTTGGGCTGTTGATTTACAAGTGATGTGAATAATTTCTTCTTTTCTGAAGTTCTTTTTCCCTCTTCTCATCTGCCACAGGGACTAACAAGGGGAGGTCCTCCATTAGATTTATATTCCCTTGACAACTCCAAAGAGGATAGAGAAAGGGCTTGGTAGTAGCCCAGGACCAAAAGGGGTTTCAAACGTTAATGCCTGCTCATCCCTATGCAAAATTAATAAACTGATTGATACAGCAAGGCCACACAGATCCTCCTCTTTTTCCCTTTCACCCGACCAAAGAAACATATTTTTAAACAATAGATTACAAAATGTAGTCAGATTTTAATTCCATTTATGACCAAACAATATTTTCTAAATCCTTAGGAAGATGTTACAGTGAATTTTTATCATATATAACAGTACTATTATAGTTCTGAAGACAAGAAAATTTTGCAATTTTTGCATGGTAATTTATAATGGTGCCTCTAATCTGTAATATTACATTAATTCCCCATTGAATGAAAGGGTGAGGTTCCACTAAATTGCTTTCGTTAGGTGGATTATGTTCATCAAAACCTTTTTCCCATATAAATTAATGTAATAAGGGGGTGGATGTGTTCCTATACTAAGCTCTGTGATATATTAATATATTGTACTAAGCTGTGACAAAATAATTGCAACACATCAAAATACTGAAGATAAAGCAATAAAACCTGTAAAGATAAAGGTACATAAACAGAGTTGTTAATTGTTGTTTGTGGGAATATTACTTCATCCACTATAGAAATGACACAATGTTTGTAATTATGTTATCATAGGAAAATGCATGGTTTATATACTGTACTGTAATTTGTTTATCACTGAGCCTGTCACCTACCGGGTATTTCAAATTAGACTACATACAGTACAAGATATGTACTCCCATATGTACGCCTGGCTATGCCTGGCAACGGGAGCGGTTTGGGGTGTGAATGACCCCTAGTTGAGTGTCGTCTGCAGTTGTAACACCCCTCGCTCCCTGCCATATTTCTCCGGATTTACTATGATTATTATGGTTTACTGATAGAATAGTGCTTAATAGTGATTAATCATGGCATTGTAGCTAAGTTAAACTCATCACTGTAACCACTAGGCTAATGGGCCAAGCTGTGAGGTGTTAGCTGGCTCAGTTAGGGAGGGGAGTAGGGTTCAGAGTGTAGGGGGGAGCACTGCTAGGCAGACAGAGGAGGTACCTCCCAGTTGGTTTCTGTTACTATGGGGAAGTAGGGAGTGTATGCAAATGGCAACAGTATTAAGCTTTCATTTGACTTTTATTTACTGGTTTAGCAATACACTATATATTTTTTTGTACAATATTGTATCATGAATGACATTCATAGTAGAATGAGAGAGAGGCAGAGTGTCAGTGAGATGCAGTGGGTGGGTGGGAGGCAGGATGGATGGTGGTGGTGAGGAGATGATGGTTTGTTTAATAATACTGGCTGCAGCACTGCCCGACACATTGAACAGCTGATGTCTACCCACAAAAATTGAGTGTAAGCATAAATGAACAATGGCATATTCCTTTTACATTATGTTACATAAATTTTAAATTATGGAGTGAGAATAACAAATAAACAATGTACAGTATTGTACTACCATGAATGACAGTCATATAATGAGTGTGAGATGCAGTGGGTGGGAGGGAAGGAGGAAGGTGAAATTATGATGTAGGCAGTGATAATAGAGGTAGTGGGGTTGACTTACCATTCGTAATAGAAGAACATTCTTTTGTTAACTGACAAATGGGTGGTAAAAAAAGGCATTCGTTATTGTGTGGATTAATTCAAAGGATTAATGTTCAATGGGGACTTAATGTACTAGATTGTAATTTCTCTTCTTGACAGTTATTCTAATAGTTTCTCACATATATATTTTATGATTTTCTGTTCAAGTTTTGTGTTGCTCTCAAACATGCATGTCTTGAGGAGAAGTAGTTATATAAATGATCCAAGACATTAGTATAGATGTTTTTTATTATCATCCAGCTGCTTCAAGTTGAAGGCTGGACTTAAAATAGAAAGACTGATGGTTAAAGCTTTTTCAGTTATTGTGAGATTGAAACAAGATTTTTTTTTTTTAATACTGTTAAAGAAAATTTTCAAAAGAGAGTTATTGTACTGTACAGTATAAGGCAGTATCAAAAGTGTTCTCACAGTTTCCCTCTCTGTATATACTGACCCTCATTAATTTGGATTGTTATAAATTGAATTTTGGCTTAATTTGTTTTGTTTTTTAATTAATTAAACGATATGAATTCAAAATGAATCTAAAATAACTGAGCGGTTCCAAAAAGTCAATTATTATTATATGAATATATTATGAAATAGATTGAGATGAATGAATTATTGAAATATAATACAAATTATATTAAGATACTGTAGCCGGGTAGAGGGGAGGCAGGACAACTCACCACCTCCCTCTCAGCATTGTGTGGTCCCTTTATAATGACAGGGTGTAATTTCACCCATAATTCCTATATTATTTAGGTTCATTTGGTGCCAGGTTAATAAAACTGGATCATAAAATTATTAATTTTCCCCAAAAATTCCACACTTAATCCCAGATGAGCTATTGTGCTGTAGTATATCCCAGGTCTTTAGTTTACAGAGTGGTAACAGCTGATCGTTCATGATATCCCTAATAATGTTGCCAGCACTTGCCATCTCTCAAATACCATTTTTGTTACTGCAAGAGGGTTGGTGCTTAACACAGGAACTGTCTTGAGCACTTAGTAAATAACATTGTAGGATATTTATCTGAACTTAATAAATGTTATTTTAGTGTATAATGCATCTCCATATGCCCTGATTTATTTGTCTAAGTGCAAAAGTAGCCAAATCGATTCATTGTGTATCAATTAATTTTAAAATATAAATTATAAATTAAAATGTTTCAAGACAATAATTAGTAGTGCTGTGTAAGTGCCTTATCATGTCACCTCACCTGTCGCTTCATCACCCCATCTTGCAGTTATATTTACTTATTACTTTAATAGTTCTGTATGTACAATCCCCTTCACTAGTGAGTTTACAGGGGTTCATCAGGTTTTGTGCAGTGTGGCAGTGCTGTGTTTGTTTACATTTGACAGAAGGAAACTCCCAATAGTAAACATACAGTAGGCTCTCGCCAATAACGACTTCCACAAAAACGTTTTCGACAGTAACAGTAAGTTACAATAGATACCCATTTTCGATAATAACGTCTGGATTCTCTTGAATAACGGAAATTTCGCGGGAAGCGTCCGAGCGCATCAATGATAGCATTTGTTTGCCGCCATGTTGATGACGTAGTTGTCCACTCCGCCTCACTCTTACTCACGCTCAGTGGAATACAGTGCTGCACCCACCTGTGAGATTTTCGCCACTATAACCAGTGGTTGTTAGGGTCGGTGATCAATAATGGCTGCCGCATTTTTGCCTGTGGGGGCTAGAGGAGGTGGTGGAGGGAGTGATTTGCCACCTGAATGACTGGGAACTTTTAAAGTGAGGAAATTGAACTGTCCTGAGTCTACAGTGCGAAATATTAAGAGGAACTTAGAGGAGACCAAGAAGAGTATTGTGCTGGCTAAGAATATTTCGGTAGTGATGGAAATGCGGGGCGAGCAATGAATGATAAAGGCGATAGAAACAGGTTGTTAGTGATAACAGAGCATTTTCGTGTGAAATGGTTAGCTTGTAGAATGAAAGACAGTGCAAGTGTTAGCGGCCCTCAGATACGGAACAATCATCACACCAAGCACCTCAAAAACTCCCCCAAGCTAAGTGTTATATTACTCAAACTCTTTATTTTGATGATTGAATAGCAATTCTTTTTATTTCAGCTAACAAAAAGTGTTAGGAAGGCTTCAAGGGGAAAAAATGGGTGAAATTCTTGGGGCGCCGGCACCAATAAACCCTTTTTACATGTATTTTAATGTCACACAAATAACATTTTCGCTAATAACGGTGTTTTTCAGGCACCTATTAAACGTTATTGGTGAGAGCCTACTGTACTATGAAATCAAATTTAAACAATATTTCAAATATATCAAAGATAGAGATTTGTGGAATATTTATATTATGAGCCCCTGTAAATTCACTAGTGAAGGGGACTTTATATTTTAAAATAATATTTGTTGGCATAGCAATTGTGAATAGATTATTTATATCGCAGCCAAGGCATGACCAGGTGCAAAAACTGAACATAAAATGGACGAATAATTGAACACAAAAATTAAGAAATTGTCGAATAATATAAAAATATTTTCAGAAATTTGAGTGACCTAGAGCCCCCCCTTTTTTTTTTTCGAATTACCGAGGGTAGAGTGTACATTTATCTTGTTTTTAACATACCAATTATGTTTTTGTTTTTTTTAGGTATCCAAACAGTTAACCTTAGTCCTGAAGTACAAGAAATGTGTACCCAAGTAGGGAAAGTACTAGCAAGATATCGTAGTGGCCCACTGCCAAAAATGTTTAAGGTTATACCAAAGATGCGCAACTGGGAAGAGTTGGTGTACATGACAAGTAAGTAGCTATTCAGTAGACATTAAACTTATTATAATCAATTGTGTATGTATATTTAGGTGCAGTATTTTTTTTCTGTTACATTCAGAAGCTCTTAACATTGACAGCCTTGCTATTGGGATGCCACATTTAATTTATTCAACTCAGAGGGGAACCCATACACAAAGGGGTTAAGGAGATGTTCTTAGAAATCTCTTTAGTTACAACATGCAGAAAGTGGAGATTGAATAACAACCTGTGTTAAGTACGGTCCTTTTAACATGAAAGTGGATATGAAGTACAGTATTAAGAAAATCATGCAATTTCACTTTTAAACAACAAAGGTAAGTTTTGAAGAGAGAGTTACTACAAGATGATGTACGTCTCTGGCTTCCTTGAGGTGAAACTTTTGGTTAATTGGAGGTTCATTTATTGGGGGAGGGGGGGGGGCATTTGAGACCCCACTTAAGGTCATGCCATCTTCCATGTAAAGCCATATTTTAACATATTTGAGAATAAGTAAAGAGTTCAGAACTTGAGGTGAGACACAGATGTATGATGTCCCTGTGATTGTTCAACATTTTTGTGGAAAAAGTGATGAGCAAAATGAAGGCAAAGGTAAAGGGCAGCAAAATGAAAATAGAGCTGGAAGGAGAAACTTATACATATCTTTAGACACAGTTTGGTTGGAAGAACAGATAAGTGCCATTATATCATGTACAGTGGTCCCTCGGTTAACGAAATTTTGGTTAATGAATTACCTTCCATAGGAATCTTCAATTCGGTTAACGAACAAAAATTTTATTAACGAAATCCTTACGACCGTCACGTTTTGTTGTGAGCATCAGCTGATGGGCTAGTCTGCCATTTCAGTAATCTGTTCTATGTTTACATTTGTTTCCAATGGAGTAAATATCAATAAAGTTGTGCTCTGTAATATTTTTGCATGTTTTTTATTAAAATTATTAGTCATTTTAACATTTATTTAACATATTGATAATATATGCAGTACAGGGAACTACTTTTTTGTACGCCCATCAGAGGCGTGAGTCAGCCACAAGGCGTCAGTTGAGCTTTGAAAACAATGGAGAGAGCATCTATTTTGTTGGTGTCTTGAATATTTGTGCATTTTTCATTGAAATTATTGGTCATTCTGAACTTAAGTTGACATATATTGTCATATTGATAATATATAGTGCAGTGTTGATTTAAATAAAATAATCTTGAATTACACCTGGTGAACTTAAAATTTTATTGGTGAAATGACGGCATCAAGCATGGTGATTTCTCCTCCATCCCCACATCCTTCTCTTCTCCTTTCTCCTCCACCCCCACTTCTAATTCCCATCATCAACAACCAGGAGCCTTCTACATACACACTTCAAAGTAAGTGTACTTTACTGCATTTTTTTTTCTTTTCTTTTTTTTTTTGTATGTACTTTTCGGTGAGCTGGAACTAATTACCCAATATCCCATTGAAACAATGGATTCGGTCAACGAAATTTTCGGTTAACGAACGACCTTCTGGAACGAATTGTGTTCGTTAACCGAGGGACCACTGTATTATACTTCATGCTATTTTCATTCATTTTTTACAGAATCATTTTATAGATTAGAAGAAATATGAAATGTTTTACAAGTGTGTCACCTTTAAGAAAAAAGCATTGTAGATTTTTTTCCAAAAAATTTCATTCTGAGTGATGGTACACCAGAGCCTCAACATTCGCGAGGGATAGGTTCTTGGGAAGCTCGTGATTGTAAAATTTTGTGAATAACATTCTTTAATACCCTGCCTTTGACTGATCCAATCTTTGAATTTTTCCAGTTGCAGTTAGCCCATATTTCAAAAAGTCTAGAGAAGTTTTACACCTCATTCTGCAATGTTGTATTTTTAATAAATAATTAACTAATATTTACATCTATGAATGTATGTTTAGCGAGATATTTCAACTTATATTTTTTCAAAATAAATATGTTAGAGAAAAAAAATGCCACCCTCCTCGGTGGAGTTACAGCAAAGGACTGGCACAATCATCATTACAAAAACTCCTTATATCCAGTACACATGATGTCACGTCACAGAGGATTACACTCACATCACCTGAACTCCATCTGGGATTTCCCTTTGAGTCATCACCGGGCGCGGTGGTCACCTTTGACAATGTCTGGTAATGCATTCGCCGAATTTAGTTAAATCACCCGTGGATGTAATTAAATCATGCATATCTTTGCCCTGTGTATCGCACCTTAGTGTCATTAATTCAATAAGCCAGGATCTCGATACAAATATTGCCTTCAGATATACTTCCACTCCTAAATCTATACTGGTAAGAAATAAAACTATCAGTGATTTTACAGCAGGTATGTACAGAATTCCATGTAAGGAATCCTAGCGTCAAATATGTTTCCTGCAGGGCCGGATTAACCATAAAGCTAATAAGACTAGGCCATTTAGTTTAGGCCTTAATTTGTGTTTCTTAAACTTTAATCTTTGTCACAAGTTACCAAATTCACAAGGTGGTTAAGTTACTTTTGTTATGTTTATTAAGGTTCTATGGTTATTATATACAGTACTTGATTAAATACCTACTTTTCTATGCATATAATATATAGTAGTACATATATTGGCCCGTCCTCTTATCAGCCTTTAAGCCCAGAGTCTTAATCAGCATCTTCCATCTTCGACGAAGTACCCAGAACTAGAAGTCATTCCTTCAAGCGGTAGTTTTAATTGCCCGAACCTCTTTTCTTTCATGCGGGACCATCGAGGGTAGGGTTGGTAAACTTTTGCACCTTTGCTGATCCATTATGGGTCGTCTTACTTGTGTGTTTGGTATGCCATAGGTGCGTTTCCTTACTTACATTGGCACCAAACTCAAGACTTCATGGACGACCATCACAATGAATTCCTATGCCTACTTCTCTCAATCAGTGAGGACAAGCCCTATAACTCCCAGAGAATGGGAGTTTTTAATTCAGTTAATTGAGGAGGAAAAAAGACTTCAAAATAGGGACACATGTGGATAACACCAACATTCTGTGCTGAGGGATGGGATATGGACCTAAACGATCTGAACAATAGCTACGAAAGTTCTGAAATCGTACTCAAATAAAGTAAGTTCTACAATTTGTATTTTGTTGTTAAGTAGATTACGTTAAATAGGGTGAAAATGACTACACTCTCTGAGATGAGTAAACTCCTCATTCTCATCCCAGTCTCCTGTATCCTACAGACTTGAAGTTTGCAGTTTTTACTGGTGGCTAAGTTCAAAGGTGAACATCCAGGTAGCCCAGAAACTCGCCAGTTTACGGTAAGCTAGTGTCTCAACATTCGCGAGGGATATGTTCCAGGGACACCTGCAAGTGTAGAATTTTGTAAATAACATTTTTTAAAACCCTGTCTTAATATTTTAGTTTACCAAAAATAAATAGAATTAAAAAAACATAATTTAAGCTTTCTAAATACAGTAAAGCCTCAAATAACGACGGTAATGTGTCCTCCAATATTGCAGTGTAAGGTGAATCATCATATCGTGAATCATTAATTACCATTAAAATGAAGCAATAATAATGAGATGCCTTCCAAAGACTGACCTTTTCATATCTTTTGTGTGGCTTTTTACTCTCTTTTCCTCCAAAACAATAAAATTAATGAAAAATGCAAACTAATTCTTAAAATAATATTTATGAATGCACCTTATACAATATAAATCAATAATTATATGGCCACGCAAGAGGAGATGGGATGCCATTGTTGTTGTCAGTGTTTACACCCATAATGTCAGTTATCCATCTGAAACTGAAGAAAATAAGACCCTGGTTTTTGTTGCTGTGGTAAAATTAATGTAAAAAATATATATATTTTAATTAATGCTATTTAATGTACAGTAAAAGTAACCATTGATGTTAAAGAAAAACGTGGGACTGATAGTGGAACGCCAACGTATACGTGTGCACTCTTGGAAACATAGCATCATTTATCTTATTAATATGTACAAAAGATTCATTATTGTTTATTACTGAATATGTATTTGATTGAATTAATGTTTATATAGGCAAAATTATCAATACAATTCATTAATAATACGTAGAATATTAAAACACACAAGAGGAGACGAGAAGGCATTGTTTTTGTTCTTGTTTACACCCGTGACGATGGTTCTACATAAGAAACTGAAGAAAATAAGACCCTGGTTGTGGCTATAGTAAAATTAATGTAAAAAAATTCATACATATGTTCTAAATAATGTTATTTAATGTTAATAAATGGAACAATAGAAGTAGCTAGCCACTAATGGTAAAGAAAAAAGTGAGACGGATTGGGAATGCCAACATATGTAAGTGTGTAAAGTGTGTACATGTGAAAACATATCGTCATTTCTCTACATGAGAATATGAAAACAACAGTTATTACTGTTCATATATGTTTTAAATAATACTTACAAATGTAAAACAAAAGTTCTACTCACCAATGGTGGTAAAGTCTAAAACATAAGGACACACCAATGAATTTTGTGCGAGTTTTTACTCAGATGACAAAGTCATCAGGTTCAACTCTGGCTGAAGCTGTAGCTTTCCATAGCTGTTGCCGTAACTGATATTGAACTTGAAGTCTTTGCTGAAGCTGCTTATGATGCTGAATTTGATGGTGTAGCTGAAGTTGATGGTTTAGGCCTTCGAATAATAAAGCTGTTGAAAGTACTTTGCACAGCTACTTTCTTTTCACATTATACATCTTTATGTAGAGGTCATATGCGGTTTTCATGTTCTAGTTAATTTTAATGGCTCCACTTCAGAAAATATGTTCATTGCTTGCTCCATATAATATCCACAGACGTCTCGCCCTTTTCATATCGTTTTAACACATCTAGTTTCTTGGCTAAGCTTGTACACTTTCTTTTAGCTTTTGAACCAGCACTACCATCTTTTGCTCTCTTGCTCATGTTGAATAGGGATGCAAAAATGCCATAAGAAACCTGAGAAAGTCTTTCTCCTTTTCCTGTTCAGATGCGTGAAAGCAA